ACAAAACACAACCACGTATTATACTTTTAAAACCAAGAATATTACTTACAAGTCATCAAAAAAATTCTTTTCAGTCAATAAGTCGTCAAATAAAATCATACACATCATTATCCAACAAATCATTAACAAACCAAGAAAAAAAAAGAGAAACAACGTTTATCTATGTGGCAAAACAAGCAAAAGCTCAACTTCTTAAAATCCTTAAATTCACTTTAACAGTGATGTCATTAATGATTTTCATATTTTATTTGGCATACCGGGGATTTCATCTATATATTGAATACTTTTTACATCCCACACCAAAAAAATTATCTTCAGAAGCCAGAAATTGTTTGCGAGGTGCGTACTTTCGAGAGGAAATGGTAACCGATTCTCATGTAGCTGAAGTATATTTACAAAGAGCTTTAGAAATTGCGATTAATAAACAAAATTTAAGTTTGGATGATCCTGTAGTTATAGATATTTGGTTACGTATAGCTTATAATTACGTATGGACAAAAAAATTCGAAGATGCTAGTTTAGTTTATCGATCTACTTTAGAATTATTGTTACAATCAAAAAGTCCTGAAAATTTCAAGAAAGCGATCGAGGTATCGAAAAAGTTGGCCGAGGTTTATATCAATATGAAAGAATTTGATAATGCTGAAAAGTTTTTGTGTTGGTCCATTGAGATGTTACAACTTGATGAATATGATGATGATAAAATGAATTGGGTGATTGATGATGATCAAAACAGAAAGTTAGAAATTTCTACTTCGATTCTTGAAAATTCTAAAGTTATTAGTGATGAGTTGGTTAAGTGTATCGATTTGCTTGCGGGCTTATATGCTCAACAAAAGAAGTTTGAGTTCGCTTTACCCTTGTATTTAGGAATTCTAAAAATTCTACAAAACAAGCAAAGAGAAGATCAAAATCAAGATAGGTGGAAATGTTGGGAAGCCATAACAATGGGTCATTTAGGTGAAGTGCTTTATGGGTTAGGAAAACACAATGAAGCGATGGGATGGATGCAACAAGGTTTAACTATTTCAAAAAATAACAGTGGTAACAGAGATTGTGATGAATGTTCTGGCGTTATTTTTAATAATTTAGGTTTAATTTACGAAAAAAATGAAGAATTTGAGATTGCAAAATCATTGTATAGCCAAGCTATTTCGTATGCTACTAAAGCTCAAGATTTTGTTGGACTCGATCAATTCTCTCTGAATTTAGATCGACTGATTAGTGAGGATTATGAAAATGAGATGAACATTTAACTATTGTCAAAAAAAACTAAACAAATAAAATAAATAAATAAATAAACCCTTTTGCTACTTTTACCTCAGTTCTTTGATCAGTTTCTTATAAATTGTAGTTTTCAACTTTTTTTTACAAGATATGCCATTAACCATCTACGATATACTGTATATTGGAAGCTGGACTCGTCTCAGAAAGACGCTTGGATCATTTGATTAAGTCAATTTATTCGAATTTATTCGAATTTATTCGAATTTATTCGAATTTATTCGAATTTATTCGAATTTATTCGAATTTAT